TATATATATATATATATAGGTCGGTCCAAATAAGATAGTAGTTGAGACACCGATCGACATCATCTACCAACATATTAATTTATTTGGGACCCTAAATATAAGCATGCATAGTGTTTTATTAATAAAAAAAAAATAAACTACAAATCAAGAGATTGGTTGGTCGCCCAAAATCAACCAATGCAACTATGTACTGTCTTAGATTTTTTTAAAAAAAATTGAAATAACGAATAAAGTTAAATTTTGTAATAAAACTTTTTTTTTTGTAAATGAGGGAGGCATTTAGAGACAATGTCTTTATGATGAAAGAAACCGCAAGGACCTTTGTCTCTCTCTTTGGAGAGACCATTTCTCTTTGCCTAACTCTTTCCTCGCCAGCTGCATAATTATATATATATATATATATTATATGGTTGCAGTGTTGGACCAAAATGGAACTGATAAACACGAATAATTTGATGTAGGTATGTAAAAATAAAATAATTTATTAGTTGTTATATATAGGTAAAATATAGATGTATAAAAATAGATAATGGTATCAATGGAACAATAAAGATGTCCCCTGCAAAAGAGACCCACCTTGTCGTATAGACCTAGAAATATTATTTACATATACTATATGATACTGTATTACACATATCATCCGCTCGAATTTAAATCGTATGAATTTGGGTATTTTTGCCCTTGCTATATAAGCAATCCATATAAGGATTGCAAAATCTCTCGTTTTCCTGAATATATTTAATAACGATAGAGTATCTTATTTTGGGCATTAAATGTGAGATTATCTACGTGTATGGATATAGCGGGCCGATTGTATCATTATTTTATTCCGAAACGCGTAATCTATGGCCTGGGATGTGGCCACGTGGCAGACTGTGAACCTTAAAACTCTGTAGTTTGTATAAGGCGCCTGTGAGCAGCCTCTGCGTCACACTTTTGCGTCCATAGACGCTTGGCACTGTTGCATCTCTCTCTCTCTCTCTCTCTCTCTCTCTCTCTCTCTCTCTCTCTTTCTGAAGTTGCTTCATGGCAGCGTTTTTGAGTTCTTAATCAAGGAGGAGAAGCCGATTCATCGATGGAGGTAGGTATCATGGGCCGATTCCCATTTTCATGTTACCTGAAGGATTTTTCTTGCTTTGATTTTTCTCCGGCAATCGATTTTCTGGGTTTTTTTTTACTGGATAAAGTATTGATCTTTGATTTTGCCCCCTCAAGTAAGGCACTCCTGCGTTTTTCGAGTACTTCGGTTAATTAGGGTTTCAATAGTGGAAGTTGGGAATCCCTATGAGAACGGGCGATTGCTTGGGATTTAGGTTATCATTTCCTTTGACCCGCATTGGGTTTTCCCGTGAGAAGAACTTGTCAAATCCGAGGAATGATCACTCGGGCTGTTTCTAATTTCAACTTATGCTCACCATTTGAAGTTGTGTTGCTTAGATTGTGATCTAAGCACTGTCTGCTTGATCAATCCTCTTTTTTTGTGATTGTATATTTTCCCGAATGATTTGATGGGCTCATGGGGAAATTTCCTCATCCGAGGAATCTGATATGATTGTTTGAGCTCCGACTAACGGGGAATCTGGTTGGTATGTCCCAGGATGGTTCATTCGGGAAGAGATGGATGAAGAAGATGAGAGTAAAGAGATAGGCCGCTTGCCCAGTTGTTCTGACCCTTCAGCGCGGCCAAACCCAGACGATGTTGAAACCAATGTAGGTGCAGGTGCAAATGCAGGTTCATCGAGTGGAAAAACAAAGTTTGCATCTATGGATCCTTTATCGGAGTTAGTTTGGTCTCCACAGAACGGTCTGAGCTTAAGATGCGCCGATTGCAGCTTCACCCGAAAGAGAAAATTGCTCTCTCCTGCCTCCTTTGGTAATGGACCGAGCAACATGGTAATTCCTCAAAGAAGCAGAAGTAATGATGAGGCGGGGTTTCGTGTGAATTTTCAGTTAAGAACCCGGGATACCTTGGATAGAATGGAAGCTCGGGTGAACCAAGATTCTTGGCCAAGTAATGAAATGGATAGGCCTTCCTCAGGTGTCCTATGAAAACAACATCAGATTGATTCTATTTCCATGTTCTTGCATTCGAGCAGAACAGTTTTTTCCTGAGCCTTCTTCTACGTGAGGCTATAAATTCTTTTGTTGGCAGGAACTGGTGGCTGTATGGAGGACATGAACACTGTCGTGTCTTTACCGGATCAGCAGATAGTTGAGAAGGAGGATATGTTAGAGTGCAAGATGGAGAACAAAGATGAAGTAGACAGCAAACAAGAAGTGACAGGTGAATGGTTTTGAAGATGGAAAGTTCTCCCGAAACTATGGGGTTTTAGAAGTTTTTTTTTTACCTTTTTACTGATATATGTTCGTTTAAATATGGAATAGATAATCCAATGGCGATTGGAGGAAAGACTGAGACGCTGGTGAGTGAAACGTTGAGGGTGGGAGATGCTTTAAACCGGGATCGTGGTATCATGAGTAGAATTGCATCTCGTGAAGAGGAAGCGGGCAGAGATAAGTTGAAAAGCGGTGACTGCTTGAACGTTTGTAATATCGAAATTATAGAATCAACGGCTGAGAACGATCTGCCTACGCTTGCTGGCCCACTTGATAAGACTCTACAACGGGATGAGTGTTGTCAAGACAAAGGGGTCCAATTGCCAGATGGGACAGATGCTGGAAAGGCCACTCTCTTGAGGCGTCCACTGACTGAG